CAGTTCATCTATATCGGACTCCTCTTCACAGGTCACGTGACCACTCCCAAGGTGAGCCGGGGGAGGAAAAGAAAACGATACAAAGTGTTTGTAGAGAGGAGCAGGGAGGAGGAAGAGGAGGAGGAGAGCGGGAGGGAGGAGGACGATAGAGGCGACTCTGCTGGGTGTGTCACACTGACTGAGCACGCCGGAGACTCTGGAGCCCGGACAAGGTAGTGCCCGACACATGGGGGGCATCTAAAGGGGACACGGGGGTACAGAGATTATTACCTCACTGCTACACACTGCCCATACACACGGGACAATGGAAGAAGAGTGTGAGCACAGAGATGGATTAGAGACGACGAGGGAGGCTGGGGACAGGAGGATGGGGGCAGAGAAGGGAGTCTGGGGAAAGGGGCAGAGAAGGGAGGCTGGGGACAAGAGATAGATGATGGAGGCTAGGGACAGGAGACAGAGTTGAGAGAGATTAAGAATATAGACAGGGGAATGGAGACAGAAGAGGGAGACTCAGGACAGGGCAAGAAACAGTGGAAGGGAGACTGTGGATAGGACAGAGAAGGAAGGATGAGGACAGGACAAGTGACAGAGAAGAGAGGCTGTGGATACGAGAAGAGACAGAAGGGAGGCTGGGGACAGGACAAGAGGGAGACAGAGGAGGAAGACTGGGGACCGGACAAGAGGGAGGCTAGGGAAAGGAGAACGTTTGGGGACAGGGCAGAGACAGAAGAGGCATGCTGTGGAGAGGGCAAGAAACAGAGGAGGGAGGCTGCGATCGGGGTAAAATACAGAGGAGGGTGACTGTGGGCAGGAGACAGAAGGGAGACTGTGGCAGGGCAGAGAAGGAAACAGTCAGTGAATGAGACAGGCAGGGTGTGGAGGTCAGACACTTTCTGCTCTTAGTTTGCTTCTCTGGGAAGCAGCCAGACCAGCCCCCCCTCTCTCCCCAAATCTATTACTCAGTCCAAGCAATGCTGGCTGGCTTTAACCCTGTAGATGTTTCTTTCATGTATGTTCCTCTTTCCTGGGAACTGCTTCAGGTTTTGATGATTTTTGTCCACAAGTGCCTCTAGAGTTTTGGAAGTGATCCAGGTTACCACAAAATCTCCTTTCTGCATTTCCGAATTCTTCTAACCCTTTAATGATGAACTGAACTTCTATAAAATGAAAAATGTGAGGCTGATCTGAAGGTTATGGAGGTGCCTGCAAACCAGGCCTGTGTTCCGTCAAGCAACCGGCTGTCCTTGCTAGATGGATGCTTCTCTACACCAACATTGGTCATCCCCATGGGTGCTGGTTCTGGCCCGCAGACTCCCGAGCCATGCCATTAGTGTCATTTTAATGTCTAGCCTCCCCATCCAATGACAGGCGGTGGTCCAGAGCCAGCAACTATAGGAGTTGGTCACATTTTGCTAGAACCCGCAATTAAGGGATCCCAGAGTTTTCAACAGCCAGAGCTTTTTCCTCACCACAGGTTCACTTTACGTTAATTGTGACGTAAAAAGAATGAGTTGTCTGTGTGTAGTCACCTGCACTTAGTTATAAGCACCATATAATATGGACATGTCACTGCCACTAGCATTAGACTGCCCAAAGCAGCTTTTTCTAAGCAGCTTCCCGGTTTCCACTGGACCTTCTACCTTAACACACTGTGGGTGTAATGTAACCAATGGAGAGGCACCCACATTGCATAGGGATGACATGGGGTTGCACCCGTGTTAACCAATGAAAAGATTGTAACTGGCATGGGACTGCTTGGGGCTCCTGGTCACACTTTGAAGGTAGTCACAGTGCTCCACAGGCTTCGATGGTGCCACTAACAACTCATAAGTTCACTGTTACATGTTGTTTCTGTGCATAGGTAATATTTAAGATGCAAAAAAGTATTTATAGTCCATGTTGTAAATGGTTAAGCAGCTTCCTGGTCCTCTAAGATAACATTGGGAGTGACCAGCTTAAAAACGTCAGGCACATGGAAATCATTTTTAAAACATTGCCACCATTGCCTGTTGCATGCACTTTGCCAGTCTGACACTAAAGAATCCTATCGCATGCAAATATACTGCAGAGCAGCGTTTCTCAACCTTCTTCCACCAGAGGAACCCTTTCCGTTCTTGGGGAACCCTTACTAAAACCAGTTCAGTGGGAAGAATGCCACATCTAGTGGTGGTCAGTAGGAAGAATGCCCCCCTTGCAATGGGGGTCAGAAGTCCTCCCTTACAGGCAGCTAAAAAGATCTGCAAAGTAGCATTGGCCCTGGATCTATGCAGGAACTCGCAGATGGGAGGTCAATCAGCCACAGTTCAAGGAACCCAGGGTCCTCGTTTGGGATTGACTGCTTTAGAGTCTTTGCAGCCTTTCAGGTTGTTGTTGGAGAGTGACAACAATATTGGAGCATAATAGCGGAGATAACTGCAGGCAGTTGGCTAACAATTTACCCATCAAAAGATTTTTGTTTCTTGGTATGTACACAAAGATTGTATGGTCATTGCATAGACTGTGGCGCCGACCTTATCTTTATGAAAACAATGGAAAACAATTGGGGAATTGACTTGAAGTTTCCAGCCTGGCCTGACATTTGACATTGATTTTTAGTCATCTGTAGACTTTAGGGTTGGTTCGCACCTAGGTGGTATGACACCATTGGTGGAAAGAACTGCTTTAGTGATGCTTGACTTGGCAAAAAAAACCCTACTGCAAAAGAAGACTCAAAACCTCTGAGGAGGTGACCTCTTTTAGAGCTGCAGTGGGTGAAGGATCTTTAGCATCCAACCAACTTCTGTGTGGTGGAGCAGCCAGCAGGAGAAACCATACCGGTGGCCAGGTATCTGGCACACTTCCGGGTCCTGAAGATTCGTAAGCCGATGGGTATGGGTTAGGAATCTTCTATTACGGGGGTTCACATTGCACCTACAGGTGAAACTCGAATAATTAGAATATGGTGCAAAAGTAATGGCAGTAATTGCTGCAAAAGGGGCCCAAACCAAGTACTGAGTACATATGCATGCTTGTACTTTTCAGAGGTCCGATATTGCTCTATGTACAATCCTTATTTTATTGATTGCATGTAATATTCTCATTTTCTGAGATTGTGGATTTGGGGTTCTTGGGGTTTTCATGAGCTGTAAGCCATAATCATCACAATTATGACAAATCACGGCTTGAACTATCTTGCTTTGCATGTAATGAGTCTATCTCATATATTAGTTTCACCTTTTAAGTTGCATTAGTGAAATAAATGAACTTTGCACGATATTCTAATTATTCGAGTTTCACCTGTATATGTCCCACCTCCAGCCACCCACCCATGCCAGTTGGTGCCCCGGGAACTGTGTAGTAGTATAATACTGGCACTGGTGAGCAGTCATTAGTCAGCGTAGCACTCTCTTCCGGGTGACGTCTTAGAAGAATGAAGACATTCTCTCTTCTGCCATGAAGACCAGTGACCACTCGCTGTTGCCAGCATTGTGATGCTACAAAACCTCCACAATCCCCATTCCAAGCAGCTAACTGCAATGGGGTCTGGTGATATTTTTGTGGAAAAAATGACCTAACCCTTACGTCCAGATAAAAATGTATTCCAATATAAAAGATTTTACCACAAAGCCAACGTGTTCTGGGGATCAGAGAATGCCCCTTCATCAGGAATTGGAGATTTAACTGAATAAGAAATATATACAATATACAAATAACACTTTGTATTCCACACACTTTGTGGAATACAAAGTGTGCGATATTGAAACCAGACAAGTGTTGGAGCAGAGTCTGCCAGCAGTTGATTTCGGCAGCCCGTTTCATTACCAGCAGGATCACCAGGCTAAAAATGAATGCAGCCACAGCATTTAAGGCTTGCCATACCCTGTTTAGAATTTCAGGGAATTGGCCGAAAGTCTTAAACTGGCCATACACTATGCAAATTTTGGCAGGTTCTTCATGAACTGGTGAAATTCGCACAGTAGGAGCCGCTATCGGCACCCTTTTGGCTGTCATCCCTCAATCAGGGGATTGAAGGAGCCGGTTGGAAAATATTCGAGCGACCGGTGCTGGCAGCCAATGCAGAAAGGGGATTCCTCCATCAACGCTCCTAAGCTTTGATGGAGGAACCTGTTCTATTTTTTTTGTTTTTCCGTTAAGCCCTTGGGTTGAATGAAAAAAAAAGAAAGAACAGTTCATTAGCAGCGTTACAGCGCACGGCCATGCCACTTCGATGAGTCTACTACTCAATCGGCTTTTGTCGAAGAGGCAGGGGCCGACAATTTTCGGCCAAAGAGGAATTGCAGCCAATCAGTCAGAATACAATAGACACAGCGATTCCTCTACCGAGTGGGTAGAGGAATCTGTTAAGGTGGCCATACACTGCTCTATTTTTTCCGTTCAACCGGCGGGTTGAACAAAAAAAATAGAACCGATTCCTCCATCAACACTAACAGCGTGTCAATCGAGGAATCTCCGCTGTTTACATTGTATTCTGACAGCGGCCGCTGGCCCCTGTCAGAATACCTGACCAGAGCGGGCAGCTCATTGGCTGCTCGCTCTGATCGTACGAAGATTTTCCGGCGGCCTCCTTTGATCAGCTGATCGAGGGATGCTGGCCGAAATTCGCACAGTGTGTGCTGCTGCGTGCACCTTTTCGGCCAGCATCCCATGATCAGCTGATCAAAGGAGCCCACTGGAGAATCTTCGTATGATCAGAGCCAGCAGCCAATGAGCTGACCGCGCTGGTCGGGTAGTTCCTCAAAACCTTTCAGATTTTCTTTTTTTGGTCTGCAGGCTGAACTAAAAAAAAAACCTATTGGTGCATGGTCAGCTTCAGGACTGGTAAGCTGCAACATTTTTGTACTTGGGGTTTAAGCTGGCCATACATTGGTCTAATTGTGGCCGCATTCTACTGACTCGGTACTCCTCTTTTGACAAAAGTTGATTTTTCAATGGAAGGAGCCAGTCCGAATATTCTTGGCAAGTATTCTGACAGCGGAGGGGTGGGGCGACTGTCAGAATACAATAGCCCGGCGGGGGAAGGTCCGGGAATTCCCCTATCCATGCTGTTGAGTGTGGATGGGGAAATTGAGAGTTTTTCTTGTTTAGAGAAAACAACGGGTAGTGTATGGCCAGTTTAATGCAGATACCACATCTAAGAACTAGAAAGCCGCAATATATTACATTTTTGTTCTTTGATTTTAGATATGCCTGAAGTCTACCAAGTTTAAAACAAACTAAAGGAAGGCTCTCCAAACCACTTGAAATGTGTAGCCATTCCTCTCCTTGTATTCCTCTCTATCTCTGATGCTGGATCATATTTGTGGTTAATACCTTTCTTCTGTTTATGTTGCACTCTAACTGAAGCTGTGCTATTTCCTGTTGGCATGTCCTCATGCCAGCTGTTTTTCCTATCAGGGACTTCCTGACTTTTTTTTTTTTTTTTTTCTACTGAAAGCCTCTTGTTCTGTTCACATGCCATCTTTTTGTCTTCAGTACCATGACAACTCGCTGTACTGTGTGATTCACACCCCTTCTCACCGCAGTCCTGATCCCTCCTCCTCCTTCGATCAGTCCCGGTGCTGCCTCTAAATCTCAGCTTTCTCTCCCTGGTAGGACCTGCTGCGCTCTCTGCGAGGCCATGGGGGATGTCATATCGAGTCACCTGGATGAAAGCCGACGCCAGAACATTGCAGGTAAGGGGCGACCGGTCATGGCGATGTTTTTCCATCATGATGTTGCCTGCAGAGCATCTATTAATGGCTTCTGCAGAATATTTTTCCTGTTTGTGCGGTTTCTTCAATTAAACAACATATGTTTGTGTGTGTGCGTGGGTGAATGCGCTTTGTAGAACATCTTTCCAAAGGGAAGGAGCGGGCGCTGGCTTATTTCATGCAGTGCTTGGCAGCCTCTTGCTGCATGACAGGTGCCTACATGCACAAGGATCCTGTCTGTTCAGGGCAACGCAGCCTCCGCTGAGCCTTTTTTCCGAGGCATTCAAGTAGTCGTATGCAAAAGTTTGGGCGCGCCCAGGAAAATGACACGTTTTGGTGACTTTATATGTGAAAAGTTAAATGCAACCTCTGCAGGGAACATATTTAACATGACGGGTTACTGCAGATTTTAACGCGCATACTATTTATTTATCTTGTTTGATTATCAGTTTTTTTTAAATCTAGGGAGGTGTCAAATGTGCAGCACACGCAAGCTGATCTAAGAATATTTCTGAACTTGAAGTGGTTTGCAAGGTAGAGAGGGGGAAATATAATACGGATAAGTGCACTCAGGACAGTAATATTGTATGCTGATTATATCAGGGGTGGAAAAATGAATTTGGAATTCAGCAGTCCAGGAGCCAGATCCATTGACATCCACTAGAGCAGTGGGGTTGGGACTCCAGCCCTCCAGCTGTTCTGGAACTACAAATCAAATTATAAGGCATTGCAAGGTTTTTCCAGGCGCAGACATGACTACCAGAGACAGATGCATCGTGGGATTAGTAGTTTCACCCACAACTGGAGGGCTAGAGTTTGCCTACCCCATAACTGTATTTTTGAGGAGCATTGGCTCCCTGGCTCCTGGCATTTGTCCAGCTCTGGTGCAGGAGAGTGCCCTTATATTTTTCTACCCCCTCTCCCAATATTTTGAGCTTATGATATACTTATGATATGCTGCACATTGAACACCTTGGGGAAGTGGTGTTGTAGGAAAATTGTGGCTTGTTCTGATTTGGAAGAGTGCTTTAAAGGACATGCTTACTAATTATTTAACCCTCCTCCATATCTACCTAAACTAGCCCAAGCTGACCCATCAGGTGATTACTAACGACCTCTGATAAGTCTAGTGCTGGGCTGTCTGTGCACTAATGTCCCAGTTACTTAAATGGGACATTTCTCCTGTAGAACTGGCACTAGATTTTTACTGGGCAGGATGTAAACTGTGCAGGAGGAGAAGATGTCAGTCTGATGACCCAAATCACCACTTAACAGTAGTTAATAATGCTACTTGCACTACTCTGTACTGCACACTGCAGCCATTGTCTACATCTTTGTCTAATTATTGTCCAGGTTGAAGCCCTGATGAAGGGGGTGTGTTGAGCCGCTGAAACGAGTTGGCTATTTGACTACTTTCTGCAATTAATAAATACTTGCTGGACTCATGCAAGTCTTGTGGGCTCTTATTCTTTTTAATGCACCTTCAGCTACTCCAGGGACCTTCTGGGGGATCCTGTTTGACAAAAAGCTGCCGCTAAAAGTAGGACTTTCTTTTGCTGTCCATTTACCTTTTGGGGTCTATCGTTCCACAAACTCATTCCCTGTTTTGTCGTGAATGTGCTCACTTTGGAATCTTGGAACATAAAATCAAGTTGGACTTTAGTAAAGAAGGGTAGTGAGATTATTGAATGGATGGTAACTCTCCCGTGTATTGGATATGTCTGATGGTGACATTTTACACAACTTCAGATAAATGGCTCCTCAGTTTGGTAGGGTTTAACAAGGGATGCACTAATACCAGTTTTTCGGTATCGAGTGCCGATATTTGTTTTGGTACGCGCCGATACCGGGTACTGATACCGGTACTTCCGCTAGCATGAAGCTGACATCCCGGCCAGTCAGGAGGGCCATTACCCACCGCCCGACTTCTTGATTGCCTGGGAAGCCGGCTCCATGTCAGCACAATGTACCATCCAAGGGCAGCGAGTCATTACCCGCCGTCCGGCTTCCTGATTGGCCGGGAAGCCGGCTCTATATTCCCTCGCGGCACTGCCAGTCAGAGAAAATCTCCCCTCTGACCGCAAGTTCCAGTATCAAGGGTAAGTATCGGAGCATTTGGGCAAGTACCAGTACTCGCCCAAATACTGGGTATCGGCAGCTGATACTAATATCCGTGCCTCCCTAATTATAACGAAACAATCTCCTCCTGATTTCCTTTTTTTTTGGTTGCTTGAAGGATTACAGTTCTTGAACTATGTAGAAGTGTCTTTACGAGAAAGGATAATAGTACTATTACCTCTGATCCAGACACGTTCTGATTCTCTTGATGGGGAAGCAGAAGGTGACTGAAGACAAACGCTGGTGCTTCAATGAGGTCATGGAGGGTCATGTAACTATGTGTTTGGTTTATGACTGTTATTTTCTAACCAGCTAAGTGATGCCTTATAGAGCGGAGTGGAATAATCGCTAGGTTGGCTTGTTAGGAGGGAAGATGACTTCTCCTGAAACTTTTCCACAGAGGTTTTAAAGCTGTAAAGGAACTGGGATGGGATTTAAGAACTGCTTATACATCTAATACTCTCTCCTGTATGGGACTTTGTAATAAAATGTCCACAAACAATGCGTCTGCCAGCTAGAGATGATCATTTCTACTCGCATCTATAGTTCTTGTGAGTTACTAATGCTATCCAGCAAACACTGCTACTCTGCTTAAGTTAGAAATGTCATTCATATTTCATTTGATTTGCACTAATCTGCGTTCTTTATAACCAATTACAGCTAAATTGTACTGCCCAAGCTTCCATCTTTTTCTATTTCCTGCCCATGTAAGAAGTGACAGCAGGATGCGCGCAATGGGTGTGTTTGGGATCAGATCTTTTGCACACAAGCAGGGGTTCCCGGATCATGAGCAAGAGAGAGTAGGGCAGACTGGTGCATGTCCGTATGTAAAACTGAACTGCTGACAAGTGGGCTGTGCTCCCTGTATGTAGCTGAAGGTTTAAAGTACAAGTGTAATTTTTGTGAAGGTTAAAATGCCTCCAGTTTTGGGAGATGGCTCTATACAAGTCTGTGAATACTCGCTGTGCTGAGCTGGCCAGTGTAAAATTAAGTTATTTCTCGATGATTTAAGGAGAAGTTCAACTTTTCATGAAAGAAATGTAAAGGTGAACTGACAACAGGCCCCGATGTGTTTGGCTACCATAGTCCCCATCTCTCGTCGCCCTAATTGACCGGTGTACAAGTCCAGGAACTGTAATGCATTCCTGCATGGCCCAGAGGCTTTGTAGCAGCATCATGCTTGGAATGGCTGACCCCTAAGAATCTCTTTTCTTCCTCCTGGGATCCGGTCCTGGAAGAGTGAAGTCTTAGAAGAGATTCTCCTTGGTCAGCGTGGTTGTGTATGCCCAGCTTGGTATACCTTCGCAGCACACCTCGGTGACCAGAACGAGGTCATGCGTAGCCACCACATGTAAGAACTTGTAAGCTGCCAAATCTTCAAGCTGAACTCGGGAACTAAAAAAAAAATAGAATACCTTTGCAGCGGGGCTCCCCCTGCATTCCAAGGGTTAAATGATAGTTTTTGCCTAGGGCGGGGGTAGGCAACCTTCGCTCTCCAGCTGTGCTGAAACTACAAATCCCATAAGGCATTGCAAGCCACAGGCATGATTCCCAGAGGCAGAAGTATGATGGGATTTGTAGTTTCAGCACAGCTGGAGAGCCAAGGTTGCGTACCCCTGGCCTAGGGCATGAGTTAAAAGAACTTTACCTAGGGTACCAGGAAAAAGGGACAGTTACTTACCTTATCCTCCTCCTTCCATGCGCCTGGTCCCCTAAGGCTGGGTTCACACCTAGGCGTATCGAATATGCGCATTTGACACGCGTTTTGTGCCGCGTTTCACGGTAAAAAACGTGCAACAAACGCGCGTTTCGCGAGGGCTACCTGGCTGTATCCCAATGGATACGCGCGGCAAACACGCCCCAAAGGAGCTCCTGTACTTCTTTGGGCGCAGGGTGTTTTGTAGCGCGTTCATACGGCCTGTAATACTCCCAGGTGTGAACCATACCCAGGAAATAATGGGATTTCGGTGTTTGAGCGTTTTGCAGAGCGTACGAACGCGCTACAAAACGCCCAGGTGTGAACCGGGCCTGAAGCCTTTTTGGTACTCTATCTGGCGGTCGCAGTTGTGACCTCATCACTTACAATGCAGGACCAAAAGTCCTGCATTGTAAGCGTGCACGCCGAGGGTTCACCTATATCTAGGAACGTGAACTGTGGGGGAGCAAGGGATAAGGCAAGGAACCGTCTTTTATCCTGGTATCTTAGGTGTCAAGGAGCGTTTAACCCTTGCAGTGCGGAGGAGCCCCACTACAAGGATTTTTTGTTTTTTTATATTAGGTTCAAAGTTCCACAAATGTTTGTTCTTGGGTTTGGACACGCTTTACAAACTGATTGTTGGTATGGAAGTTGTGCTCTGAAACCCTCCAGTTTCTTTCGATCACTGATGGTACAGAGAAATGGTTGCAGGGCTGTGCTGATGTAATCCTTTTCTGTCTGGATGTGGCCTTGCAAAGGTCTGAGAGCAGAATATGTATTGGTTCTAGGAGGGTGAGAAGGAGAGAAGCATTTGGAGTACCATGTAGTCACTGAGAGATTTCAGAAGAAGGGAGGGGGAGACGGAGCCAGACATTTCCACGGGTTAGGGCAGGATGCAGAGGACGGAAATTCCAGGGTATGGATGAGGAGGGGGAGGTGACTCTATTTGTGTAGACTGAAGTCTTGGGATCCCCAGCACTGTTACCCCCTTATTACTTGCCATGCCAGGAAAGAGTTCCTATATAAATTCTTGCAGCACACGTGTGGAGGCAGTGTTAGCCATAATGTAGTGGCCAGAAGTGTAAGAAAACAAAGAACATTATTTCACAGCCTAAAGTGCTTCTAAGCCCCAAAGATGGCCATACAATTGTCGATTTTTTTTTCATTC